CGTTCCTATGTGTCTTATGTGTGTATGCCATGTGTATGCTGATGCCTGTGAAGGCCAGGAGAGGGTGTCAGATCCCCTGGAGATGGAGTTATAGGCAGTTATGAGCTGCCGGTGGATGTGGGTACTGGGAACTCAACTTGGGCCCTCTGAAAGGACGGCAAGTGCTCTTAATTGCTGAGTCATCTCTCCAGCCCCTCCATCCTATCTTGGTTGTACTAAAGCAGCATGAATTGTTAAAACTTCAGTCTGATATGGTAAGTTGTTTCCTTCCTTCCTTCTTTCCCCAGTCCCCTTCTATTCCTTCCACTAACCCCTTCCTCTTCTGTCCCTTTGGAGATGGTCTTTATATATATATATATATCTCAGGCTGTCCTTGATCTTGAAATCTTTTTGCCTTAGCCTTCTGGATGTTGGGATTACAGGCATGTACCACCACATTTGCCTGACAGCAAACGATGGTTTTGCTTAGGGTTACTGCACCTGTAGTTTATGGAAAGTTTACTGCTCCTGTGGTTTTAACAAAGTTTCTAGGGTTCTCTGATAATAGGGCTAAAATCATTTGGCTGAGAGTTGTCTTGTGATTGCGTTTAATTCTTCTGTTTAGTGTACTGAAGTAGTGTGCAGTGCATGGCGCTCTTATTTGTAGAAATCAAGACAGCCAGTTGCGGAGCCAGAACCAATTAACTCTGGAAAACAGTTGAAAACTGCTCAGTACTCAAGTGCTCTCCAAGCACCTGTTGATCGCACAGTTGATACTAGCATTACTTCTAAATATAGACAGGATCCTCCTAGAAACTGGGAATGAAACAGCTGGGGCCTGAGGGAGGACATAGGTTACTGGCCAAAACATCAGCACAGTCCCTGGAGGCTGATCAAGCCAAAGATGATGGTTCAATAACAGGAGTGTAGGGAATTTTCTTTCACTGAGGTTTTATGTATTCCAGGCACTGCACTATATATAGTCCTTTAATATTGGTAATGAAAGAATTTTATATATACTAGTTTTTAAATTGTTGCTTGTAGTTTTCCACTGTAGAACCACCATAGTGAAGCTGGGAATTAAACATTCTTTTGGACCACTATGCTTCTCTCAGAAGTAACTGATTATATCAGTCTTGCTGCTTTCATTGGAAACTGGAAGGAAAAGCTTGTATTTGTTTGTTTGTGGGGGAAGGAGGAGTCTATCCATTATATTCCCAAAGACCTTTTACAGAATAGAAATCTTCAGTGTTGTGAGAACGGCTTGTCCACCCATCTGCACTGAGGTCCTGGTCTTCTGGGTAAGTCCCCTGGATTCTTGATGTGAGGCATGCCTCTTACAAACTCACCACTTTTTTTTTTTTTTTTTTTTTTTGAGACAGGGTCTCAGTGTGTAGCCCCTGGATGGGTTGGAACTTACTATGTAGACTTGACTGGCTCAGAACTTTGGAACTTTCAAGTGTTGGCTTTACAGGCACAAGCCTTTAACCTGGCCATCTTCTCACTTTTCTTGATGTATTTTTGTCACAAAGTGTTGACTATTCTTTCTTTCTTTTTTTTCCTTACTGTGGTAAAATACACTTGATAACATTTACCATTTTATTTACTTATTTTTTATTATTTTAAAAAATTTTACTTATTTTTATTTTATGTGTATGAGTGTTTTGCCTGCATGTGTGTAATAAGTGTACCACTTGAATGCAGGGCCCCAAAGAGACCAGAAGAGGGTACCAGATCCCTGGAACTGGAGTTA